CTATTTTTAGGGTTGCCTAGTTAAATTATTGTAAGGCTCGTTTGAAATGGAAATATTAGATACTTTGAATTTTCTTCTAAGAACATTCTGAACTGGACTGTCTGCCTGTAATGGGCGGAGGTGGCTCACATTGATTTATTACTTCTCAGGAATTCAGGGAGCCTGGTGTTCAATGCTGTCATTATTAAAAATTATATAAAACAAAAGAATACGTTATATAAAACAAAAGTGTATTAAAACCATAGTAATACTTGCCCAAACCTACAATTCTCTTATTGTCTTATTTTTTCATTACATATTATCTCTGCCTTTGAGGTTATTGATGTCGAAGGCAGTTATGTTAGATAGTGGTGGCTCCTGCTGACCTCTCTTCATTTCTGTGTGCAGTGACTACATTGGTAGCTTGGAATTGGCCATGGTGGGAGTATTTATACCACGGAAGTCACCAAGGGCTACAAACTGGGACTTAAACTGATTATTTTGTTGATTTTCTCTGGGCTTAAGAAAATGTTGCAGAAAATTATAATAGTGCAGATTAACTATAAAACAGTGTTGACTCTAAAGCCATTACACTGTGAACAGTATGCACGTGTGCACGTACACATATGTGCACACACACCCTCCCAAACACACATAGGGAGGAATTATCTCCCAGTATTCAAGGACTATTGCCTACCCAATTCGGCAAAGACATTACTCAGTTAATGATGCACAAGTTCTGATGTTCTCACTGTTTTATCTCTGCCTTACTTATTAATATAACCAGCTACACAAATAATACTCATGCTGGATTTATACTTGGGGAACCAGTTGTTAAATGCTTCTCAGCTAACCACTGATCATCTCCAATGCATTTTTGTTTCATAGTCTGCCCACTAGCATTAGCTTCTAAATAATCTGTAATTATATTTTAAATGTCCTCTTTAACTCTTATTATTTAAAGAGTGCTGGGGATCCCTGGGTGGCGCAGCGGTTTGGCGCCTGCCTTTGGCCCAGGGCGTGATCCTGGAGACCCGGGATAGGATCCCACGTCAGGCTCCCGGTGCATGGACCCTGCTTCTCCCTCTGCCTGTGTCTCTGCCTCTCTCTCTCTCACTGTGTGCCTATCATAAATAAAAAAAAATAAAAAAAAAAAAATAAATAAAGAGTGCTATTTTCAAAAGAACATGCCACTTCAGACTTTATTATATTTTTTATTAGGTTCTAATTTTTTGTTCCCTATGTCATAAAATCTGATATCTTTTACTACCCCTTTTGATTTTGGAGGGTGGTGTTTCACTGTGGCCAAACATAAAGCCAAATTTTACAAATGTTTTGTGGGTCTTAAAACAGAAGGCATGGCCTACCTAACTTGGCAGTGGATACATACATATTAAATAAATAGATATATATGTTGAATCCTGACAATTACTTTACTTGGTTCTTCCATAAACTTTTCCAATATTGTTTATGTGATCTCTGAGATCTGAGCAGTCACCGTGAGGAGCCTCCCTTTCTCCTTGTATGTATTTCTAATAGTTTTTACCCATGATGATTAAGTATATACATAGCTACGGACACCTGGGTGGCTCAGTTTGTTAAGGATCTGACTCTGGATCTCAGTTCAGGTCTTAATCCCGGGTTATGAGTTTTAAGCCTTGTCCTGGGCTCCATGCTGGGCATGGAGGAAAGAAAGAAAGAAAAGAAAGGAAAAAAGAAGGAAAAGAAAAGAAAGAGGAAGGAGGAAGGAAGGAAGGAAAGAAAGAAAGAAAGAAAGAAAAGAGAGAGAGAGGGAGAGAGAGGGAGGAAGAAAGAAAGAAAGTGAAAGAAAGAAAGCACGCACATTCATAGCTGTTGATACTTTTTCTAGTAGCGTTCACTGCTTTGGCTTTTATCTATATTTTTCTTTATCCCCCTTAATATTAACTTTTCCTCCCTAATATACATTGCATCCTTTTTCAATAAAAATGTTTGGATCAAATTGTTTTAAGTATGTCTCTGGGAGACAACTTATCACTTGATTTTAGTGTCTTTTTATATTCGTAGAGATCCTATTCACATTTACTGTCAAGATTAAACTGTCATTTTGTATGTTGTGTTACGTGAAGTTTGGTATCTCTCTGTGCCTTTCTATTTGTGTTTCTTTCGTAATATGGGAAACACGCAGTGAGTTTCTTAGCAGCATAAATTTAGGACAGTTCTCTGGCTCTCTGAAAGGGTCAGGCACATTGTTTTCTCAAGTGTAGGACGGCCTGATCACATCTACCCAACGGAATTGACAGGAGGCTGAGTTCTGTATCTCTCTCTCTATCTGACCTCCAGTCAGTCTCTCAAGCACATATGGAGTGTGGATAGGTCGGATCTCACTAATGTCATTACCTCATTCTTCTCCTTGTGGAATGAGTGACATTTCCTACCCTATTGTGGGCATGTCACTCCCACATAAGACAAGCCCTGCCATGGTAATAGAAGGAAGGTCAAGGGAATGCTGGCCAAGCCAGTCTATTTAGTGGAGCTGAGCTTTCTTTTCTCCAGCAGAGCCTCCTCTTCTGCTATTGTCCCCAGAAAAGACAATTGTTGATGATTTTACGGCTGCTAAAAAGTATCTCATCATAGATGTCATAAAAAGTCAAATGTCATAAGGATTAAATCATATCTGATATATTTCCATGTTTTTACTTCCAGAATAACCTGTTTTACTTGGGGCCTCGTCACCACAATGCAATAACCCATATGGATTGTATTAAACAACCAGGCTGCATCAAGAGTGCAGACTGAGTTTCAATGCACGTGCAATATATTTCCAATTTGCTGCTTGCTACCTTCGTAAACATCTATTAGAGTTAAGATTGTTTCCTTAAAAACTAAGGAACTTGATCTAAAACTGAGTTAAATTCAATCTAAGCTTTTAAACGATAGAAATAAATCATTGAAAAGGAAGAAAAAGCTTATATATGGTAAGCAAATACTATTATCTTTCCCTTTTTTATTCTAAACATATATATTTTTCCTCCTTTGTGAGATAGAGATGTACATATATGTGTGTGTACATGGGATTACATGTAGGCATACTTATGTACCTAATCTATTCTGAGACCTTTACAAGTTCCTGGGAACAGTAACCCAGAAAGATATCCTCAGGTTACATAGAGTAGCAGAAAACCAAACACACAAAGACAACCCCGCCAACATACCAAGCATAGTATGAGTAGTCAGGACAGGATAACTATGATATTGTAACCAACAAGCTCCCGTTTCAGTGACTCAGTGAAACCAAGACATATCTATTGCTCCCTTCATGTGCATGCAGCACTCACCCAGTTAACACATTGGCCTCCCATCGTTCCCAAAGCAGACGAAACAAGAGCTAAAGCATTCTGTGGGATGTTGTCCCAGAGCAGGCTAGGAAGTGGCTTCCACCCATTCTTCCCATTCCATTTGTCAGGACTTTGGTATATCTCAAGCCTAACTGCAAAGGGAGGATGGAGAGTCGTGTGCTGGAATCAGAACCGCTGTGATGGACAGAGCCATTAGCATCTTTCAGGACACAGGTGGTGGCCTAGGCCATGGTAGAAGTAAGGGTAGGCCTCTCTACAAAGGTGGGCCATTGCAGAATGGGGAGGATGGCTGAGCCAAATGCTAACATTACGGATGTTCAAAAATCAAATACACAAGAAAATACTAATTTCCATAATATATGACATAGTACACACACACACACACACACACACATACACATTCTCCTGAAGCTCTGAAAAAGATGGAAGCTTCCCTCTGAGGTCAGCAAGTTGTGTTCCAATCACCAAGATCTAACAGATACAGGAGTAGGTAGTTGAGCTAAACTGAAACAATCGTATTCTTTCTTCTTCTGATGAGACATGCATGGAGGCACACCAAGGGCAAAGACATCAGAGCTATATTTTCTTTCTAATACACTCTTATGTAATTTTTTGTCATTATTACCTAGGGCTATTTAATGATTTGGGTTTTTATTTAAGAAACAAATGAATACAGGACTGGCATGGGTAGCTAAGCTAGTTGAGCATCTGACTCTTGATTTCGGCTCAGGTCATGATCTCAGGGTCATGATATTGAGCCTCGTGTTGGGCTCTGCACTGGGTGTGGAGCCTGCTTAAGATTCTCTCTCTCCCTCTCCTCCTGCTCCTTTACCCCTTGCTCCTTCATGCTCTTTTTCTTTCTCTAAAACAACAACCATAACAACAATAAAACAAGTGAATCCATTAACACTTGATGAAACTGGATTTTTAAAAAACATTTCACATGTGACAACCAAATATATAATTTGAACCTAAAACTATAGTTACAATCCCTTGATGTTGGTCATTCTCAGGAAAATAAATTCAGTCTTGATAAAGTAAGATAATGAGATGGTAAATGTCCAAGATTTAAAATCTAAAAAACTATACAGACAGTAAAAAGAGAAGTGGTCGCCAGGGATTAGGGGATGGCAGGAAGGGATGAACAGATGGTTTACAGGGGTTTTGGGCATAGAAATCATGCTAGTGTATGTTACTATAATGGTACATATATGACATATGTTTGGTAAAACCCATAAAACTGAACAACTAAAAAAGTGAACCCTTGTATAAACTAGGGAGTTTAGTTAACAAAGATGTATTAACACTGGTTCATTGATTATAACAAACAGACCACACTAACATGTCAGCAACAGAGGACACTGACTGGAGAAGGAAAGCAGAGGATATAGGAACTCCGTACTTTCTGCTCAAGTTTTCAGTAAACCTAAAACTGCTAAGAAATCAAGTCTATTAATAATTTTTAAAACAATTCCATCCATAGAACGCAGAAAGTGAAATGTTTCTAATGGTAGAAAATTTAAGTCGTGCCTTAATCAGTAAGTTGCTGAGGGAATTAATGGCACAGTATGTTGCAGTATGTAATATACAATTTTGCCCTGAACAATCAGAAACTTCAAAAAAGCAGTTTTCTGAAGCATGAACACAAAGCGGGTGTTATACATGGTTTGCAGAAAAACCTACCTGAAGTGCTCCTAAGATGATTTAGAAGGGCTTCCTGTCCTCACTTCTGCCTAGATTCCTCCTCATGCTTCAATTCTTTTGTGTAAAGAAGGCATCGTCCATAACCCAGTCTTGATCTGCAAAGAGCACATGAATTGCAAATAACTTAGACTTAATAAATTTATTAGAGGGCTTTGTTCTATGGCAGGGGAAAAATCAAGCCACTGTGACCTCAATTTGAGGGCCACACAAAGCATGGGCGGCACAATCCCCAACTCTGCTCTCGTGGCGAATCCCTGCATTTGATAGGGAGTGGTCACAATAGTCTGTATGGAGATGCATTTACTTCCCACCCCCCCATCCCAGGCCTGAGAACATTGTGGAGCTGGCGGAGCGGTCTCTAAGGCTGGTGTGCCAGCCCCGAGCATCCTAATTCTACCCTCGGCGGCTGATAACTGAGCAGCCTGGGCTCCAGCTCCCATGCTTTCCAAGAGGCACCAAAATGCTCCTTCAAGCCCATTAACTTTGAATGTGGTCCTCACCAACAAGGCTGCCCATTGTTAACCACAGCTGAATTCCGTGAAATGCTGGTTTTGAATGTTTTGAGTAAAAATTCTTCCCAAGCTGTGAAAAGTTGGCAAGAGTCTGATTAATGGGACTGGAACTGAAACAATGCACCGTGTGGCTAAGTAATCGGGGAAGCTTGGAAAATGAAGAAGAACTTGAAATACAAGACGTTAGCCAAGGCCAATGACGCCAACCAAACCAAACAAAATAATGTTATCATCTGGGAAAAGAAATACACAGATTGGTTGCAAAGTGCTCTGGGCTGATTTAAAGATGAAACACTTAGCCGTGTCCTCATAGAAGAACCAAAAAAAACCAAAAAAACAAAAAAACAAAAACAAAAAAAAAACAACCAAACAAAAAAAAAAAAAAAAAACAAAACCCCAAAAAACTAAACAAAACAAAAACTCCAAAAAATAGTCATCATTCTGAGAATGTGAGCAGTTGGATTACTGGTTCATCATAATTAGGAACAGGATTCTTGGTTCTACCTGAGTGAAGCCTGCAGCAGCTGTGTGTACAACTCCTCCAACAGGCATATTTCCTAAAGGGATTTAGTGGATTTGCCTTAGCCTTTTCAGAGTGGCCCCAATCTGTTCTGTCCTTTGTGTTATATCTCTGAGACTCCTGGAATCTTTTCCAATCATTTATCGTCAAAGCTCTCCAAAACGTATTCTCAACTGAACACTCTACCTCTGATGTCATTGGGAAAAAAGGAAGCCACCAGCCTAGGACTCCTGTGCCTATTTTAAGAATCTACAGAAAATTTTCTGTATCCAGACTCTATTTTACATCCAAGAACTATTTCTTGATTCTAGAAAATAGGTACCAGGACAAGGCGGCTCTCAAAACTTCTCCCCATCACATGCCCTCTCTGTGTCTCTGAGTCAGTCACTTTTAGCATCCCCAAGCCCCAGGAGTCAACAGTAGTTCCTGCCTCATGGGCTTGTTCTGACAACTGAACTCTCTACCATATGTGAGATGCTTAACACAGAGATACGTGACACAGTGCATTCCTCCATAAGCTCTCTATAGAAGTCAACTCTAATGAGCACTGCTGATATTAACACTGTCATATAAGAAAGTAAGATGAGTGCAGCAGTCATTTCCTCATTTGTGTCTTTCACTCATTAATACCCCATACCTATACACATTAAAAACCATGGATATCCCCGGAAATATTCTCCCACTTTCTCCACCTGATACAATATACCCATAAAGTCATGATAACTAAATACCACACATAGCACAGTCACTACTTACTGGATGTCTGTTGTGAATCATGGATTACACATTTAAAAAAATCATTCCTGAAAAATGAAAACATAAATGCAATGCAACTCATCCATCCAGTAAATATTTATTGAGCCCTCCACATATTATCTTGGTGATCTGCTAGTGATCAAAACTAATTAATTTGTTCTTAGTGAGAACTGATTTTAGTGTGAAGAGAGAATAATGTCTACGGTATGTCAAGGAGTTGATAATTTATATGAAAAACAGATCAGGGGAAGAGCTAGAGGCTGCTGGGAGTGTCAAGGCATAACGACCTTGTGCGGTCAGGGAGAAAACGTGGAAGGAGGAGGGGCATGGGGTCAGGTATAAATCAGCACTCGCTTTTTCTCTATATGTTTTCAGAATGCTTGACTTGACGCATGCAGCATTATGCTCTGATCAAAACTAATAGAGGGACAAAAGAAAATTAGATTTCTCCACTGTCATAAAATACATAATAAAATGTGTTTAAATAATATGGGCAGCCCGTGTGGCTTAGCGGTTTAGCACCGCCTTCAGTCCAGGACATGATCCTGGAGACCCGGGATGGAGTCCCATGTTGGGCTCCCTGCATGGAGCCTGCTTCTCCCTCTGCCTGTGTCCCTGCCTCTTTCTCCTCTCTTTCTCTCTCTCTCTCTCTCTCTCTCTCTCTCTGTCTCTCATTAATAAATAAATAAAATATTTTAAAAAATAATATTAGTTGCAAGGACTGCCCCTGTATTAGTCTGCTCCACAGGTCACATATTTTGGACTCTCCTTGGCTCCATGGAACAATGAGCATGTCTCTGAGACTTGATTTTGTATCCCTGAAGTCTGCCCCATGGTGGATATGGTGAAGGGTTAATAATGGAAAATAGAGCAGGTGTGTATTCTTTCTCCTTGAGCCCATCAAAGAAAGTTGATGCCATCTTTCCAACATGCTGAACCCCCACTCCTCTCATTCCTGCTGTTTGGGACCAGTCAGTAGGAGGCTGTTGCCCAAATGAGAGATGGTAGCTTTGGAACCAGAGCATAACAGCAGAGGCAGTCTTGCTAAGGCAGTAGAGCAGATGTATGATGCAAATATTTAGGAAAAATAAGGCTAAGTGGAGGGTCAGTTTTTCTCATCCTCCTCTTTCATCCTTTTTCTTTTCTCTCACCATAAAAGAGAAGACACAAACTCCATGCCAAATTAGAAAGACCCTTGGAAGGAGACAGAGCATGAGGTGCCCATTCTGTTCACAAAAAGGCTGCTGCCTCCTGCCTCCCTCAGACCAAGGCAAGGGGAACAGATGACAGAGTCCTGAAGTGAACTCAGGAATCCTATGACAGAAGGAAGACATGCTCACATTTCTTGGGGGCCAGGGGCAAGGATTTGTAGGTCACTCAGATCTGTCTGGTATGGCCCAGAAGCACAGGAGAAGAAATGGCATATAGCAGCAAAGACAAGGTGTCCCATGGACCCTGAGAGACAAGGTAAGAAGAACAGCTAAAATTCCAATTTCCCCAAATGATGTGGATTTCAGCTGAGACAGAGCTGGGATGAATAGTGAGACATTGCCCGTGTCAGGTGGGACAGAATGTCCTATTGCATTTCAGCAAGGGGCCAACCAACAGCTGGGAATTGAGGGCAGCAGAGGGGCAAGCCAATGACTGGAAGTGATGCCATGCTCCAGTGCAATGATTATAAATAGCCTAGGATTTCAGATGTCACCTCATTGAAGAGGAGAAAGCAAGCTGTAAATGATTTAATTGACCCAAAGTGAACGGGTTTACCTAGAATTTTGCTATAGCCTAATTGCCTGCCACCTGACAAAATGAGGACTCAAATTTAGCCTATGCAGAGTTATTTAAAAAAAAAAAACACAGAAAAATACTTTTATACAGCTAAGTATTTGATTTAAAGTACCTGACCCACTCACTCTTTTAAGGACTTGGTACTATCACTGTTACCAGGGGTAAAAATGATATCAGTATTAAAAAGCACAGCGAAACTAGAGAAATATTTGAGGCCTGGTTTTGTTTTTTTTTTTTTTTTGAGGCCTGGTTTTGGTTAAAAATAACAAACTAGGAGTGCACTGAGCAGGCAAAGCACTTACTTAATTTGCAAAAGCATTCACAAATTACCAAACAGGGCTTCCAGGAAGGGAAAGTCATTTGTAACAAGCTACGTGCTCTTGCCCTCAGGTTGACTTTACCTGGCATCATTTTCCATAACTTGCAATTCTGTTTACCTGGAAAGGAGCCGGGGAACAACTACTAAGGGATGTGGAGGGGGTTCCTGTAAAAGAGCCTTTAGAAAGCTTCTCCTCCTACTCTCTCATGATGTATATTTGTTCTTTAACCACACAATGTCAAGGGTTTCTTTGACCGGAGTTGACTTTTTTCTCTTTCAATCTGTTTTTCCCCCCTTCTTTCCCTATATAGAACCAGAAAGACTTAGTCTAGTGTAGCTTTCTTGCCTCTATATCAGGGCTTGGCAAACAGCTTATGGACCGATTCAGCCCCTTGCCTACTTTTGTAAATAAAGTTTTATTAGAACATAGCCTTGCTCATTTATTTGCATATTGTCTATGCCTGCTTTCACACTACAACAGCACACCTCAGTGACTGCACCAGTGACCATGGAATGTTCGCAAAGCTGGAAATATTTATTCAGTGGCCTTTTACAGAACTTCTACTCTATACTGCAGTATGGACTGATCTATATTGAAGGACATTCTATAAAATACCTGAGCAGTACCCCCTTGAAACTGATGAGGACATCTAAAATAGGGGAAGTCTGAAAAACTGTCCCCGACTAGAGGACTAGAAGGAGCCATGGCATCTAAAGGCAAGGTGTTACCAGTGAGAATGGCTAAAATTAACAAGACAGGAAACAGCAAATGTTGGAGAGGATGTGGAGAAAGGGGAACCTTCTTACACTGTTGGTGGGAATGTGAACTGATACAGCCACTCTGGAAAACCGTGTGGAGGTTCCTCAAGAAGTTAAAATAGAGCTACCCTACGGCCCAGCAATTGCACTACTGGATATTTACCCCAAAGATACTGATGTAGTGAAACATCAGAACATGTGCACCTCAATGTTCACAGCATCAATGCCCACAATAGCCAAACTGTGGAAGGAGCCACGGTGTCCTTTGACAGATGAATGGATAAAGAAATGGGTACATATACACAATAGAATATGACTCAGCCATCAGAAAAGACAAACACCCATTTGCTTCGATGTGGATGGAACTGGAGGGTATTATGCTGAGTGAAGTAAGTCCATCGGAGAAGGACAATCATCATATGGTTTCACTCATGTGTGGTA